AGAACTTTATTTTGCCCTTTCAACTTCATAGGGTTGTGAAAAAATGTGAATATACTTCTAGAAGTCTTAAGAAAATTACAAACTGGGCAAACTGGTGCATGCCTGTAACCCCAGCACTCTGGGAGGTTGAGGCAAGAGGATGGCAAGTTCAAACTCAGCCTAAGCAACTTAAGACACTCAGCAAAACTTGTCTCAAAATAAAAACAATAAAGGGGATGGACATATAGCTCAGAGCAAAGACCCTGGATTCAATCTCAAGTACTGCCAAAACCAACTTTTTTTTTTCTTTTCTTTTTTTTGCCTTTTTGAGACAGTGTTTCACTGTGCAGCTCAGGCTGGCCTTAAACTCAGTTCGGAGCCCAGCAGGCCTCGAACTCACAGTGATCCTCCTGCCTCAGCCTCCCAAGTGCTGGGATTACAGATATGCACCACCACACCCGGCCCAAAACCAACCTTTAAAGAAAAATTCAGAAAAGTAATGAAGAGACTCCAAACTAACAAAGACTATATCAGATGCTCTCCATGTCATGCATTGTATCATTTTATCCCCAAAACAACACGGAAAAAGTTTAATAACTTGCTAAAGATGGAAAACGAGTAAGCACTGGGTCCTAGCTGGGGCACACTTGGAGGGAAAGATCTGCATCTGTTTTAACCATGGATTCCCTAGTCCTGGGTTGGAACCTGCCCTACAGGAGGAGCTCAGTGACCGTGAATAACTAAACCAGGATATGCACGCAAGGCAAATTAATGCCAAGGCCAAGGTCCTCCCACTTGTATTAAATGACGCAAAGCTCAACCTTTTCTGACTGAGAACAAAAGAGCAAAAGTGAATTTGTCTGCCTAAAGGAGGATTAGCTGGGTTCGGCACACAGGTGTGGGCTGAATGATCGTTGCTAACCTTTTTGCAGGCAAGCAGGAGGCAGAATGAAATGACCTAAAGCCACTGAGGTTTTTATTTCAGCATTAGCTACTGCAGAGAGATAGTAGGCATGAAAAACTGTAGCGTTATCTTCTATGTAATCAAGGCTCTGATAAATTCTAGGAGAAAGAAAGGAAATTTCAGGTCATGAGATAAACAAGAACATACTCAGTCTTTTGAAGGGAAGAATAGTGCTCGCTCCAGCAGCACATATGCTAACACTGAAAGGAAGAACAAATGACTGGAAGTAGGGAACGCTTATATTACAGGATATACTTATGATGGGGCCTAAGTCTAGGCAAGTCTCAGTTTTAGAGGCTTGGTAAATTATTATATACATTGAGAAATTTGACCTAAAACTGGACATCAACTGTGTATTAAAAACCAGCAGCCTATGAGGTTTATTCATGGTCATAGTTATAAGAGGAAGCATGGCCGGGCATGGTGGCACACGCCTGTAATCCCAGCACTGGGGAGGCTGAGGCAGGACGATGGGTGCAAGTTCGAGACCAGCCTGGGCTACAAAGTGAGCTCAAGGCCAGCCTGAACTGCACAGTGAGACCTTGTCTAAAAAAGACACACACACACACACACACACACACACACACACACAAGGAAGGTAAGGCGACAGCCGAGGCGGATGCTAATGAAGGCGCTACTAGGCTGGTGGCTGGGGGTCTTCAGGGTGCCAGGGGGCGGGGCAGGGCCAGCCGGAAACACTCAGGCGGATGGGGCAGACCGCGAGGACGGGGGAAAGCATGCGAGACGCGGGGCGGCCGACAGAAAGGCGCAGGGGCGCGCGTCGCCCGTCTGCGCTGCGAACGTGCTTCCCGCCTCGCTCCACCCTAAGGATCTGTGCGTGGCCGGCAGCGTCCTCCTCCGGTCCGGCTCCTGTCGGCGCAAGCGCGGCCGCGACTTCCGGTACCTCTGCGTGTCGGGGTGCGAGGCGTCACAGCTGAACAGGAAGTCGGCGACGGCCGGGTCACTGACCGTCCCTCCCTCCGCCACTGCGGAGGCAAAAGCACAGGGTGAGCCCCTCAGGCACCCTGGCAGCTTCCCCACCTCTCGAGGCCCTTCTGCCGCTTCCTACCCCAGAACTGTCTCAGGTCCTGGCCGACACTGCCACAGAACCACCCGCGCTGCCCGCGAAACATGGCGCCGCCTGGCCTGGGAAGACCGGAAGTAGTGGCCTGCGCCCAGATCACTGATTGGTCCGTGTTTCCAGGTCTAGCTCATTGATTGGTTAAGAGCCAAAGGCGGGAGAGGCCTTAGGCCAACAGAAGAGGCGTGGTCGCTATTGCACAGAACTGACGTGCGACGTTGTAGGAAGAGGTCGCTCAGACTGGTATTTTTTTGTTTTTGTTTTTGTTTTATTTTTTTGTGGGTTTTTTTGTCTTTTTGAGGCAAGGTCTTGCTGTGCAGTTCAGGCTGGCCTTGAGCTCACCTTGTACCCTAGGCTGATCTCGAACTGGAAACCATCCTCCTGCCTCAGCCTCCCGAGCGCTGGGCTTACAGGCCTGCGCCACCACGCCCGGCCTCGTGTGAGCATTTAAAGTTACTGTGCAATGTTGTACAGCCACAGGAGCCAGTCCTGAGGCATCAAGTAGTATTTTGAAGTAAATCTAATTATCATTTCATCTATAAAATTTCACTTTGAATCTCCAAAAGATGATGACTTTTTTTTTTTTTTTTTTTTTTTTTTTTTTTGAGACAGGGTCTCACTATGCAGTTCAGGCTGGCCTTGAGCTCCCTTTGTAGCCCAGGCTGGTGTTGAACTCACAACTATCCTCCTGACTCAGCCTCCTGAATGCTGGGATTATAGGCAGAGCACCTTTTTATGTATGCATTTACTTTTTTCTCTTCCTGCCCCTCCTCCCCTTCTTCTGCCTCTCTGTTTCTCCTCCTCCTTGATTTTGTGAAACAGGATCAGTAATGTAGTTCAAACTGGCCTTGACCTCACTATGTAGTCCAGGCTGGCCTGGAATGCATAATCCTCCTGCCTCAGCCTCTTGTGTGCTGGAAGTACAGTCATACACCACCATATATGCCTTATTTTTTGAGACAGAGTTTCACTATGCGGTTCAGACTGGCCTTAAACTCACTTTGTAGTTCATTCAGGCCTCGAAGTGATCCTCCTGCCTCAGCCTCCCGAGTGCTGGGATTACAGGTATGAATCACCACACCCTGCTCCACTATACAGGGTTTTGTCCCTTCATTTTGTTTCCTAGTCTCATCTGAGGTTTGACAGTTTTTTCTATCAGTTTCAGCTCTATATAAAGTCTATTTTTCTTGATACCGAATTGCTATTCTTCTAGTTTCTTGAAGTAGTTTGATTTTTATCCTTTGTTTTTCTAATATGTACCTATAAGTCTATAAATTTCCTTTTAAACTGTGTGCTACAGGTTATTTTCCTTTGGTGTTATGGGGAGTTGAACCTAGGGCCTCCACATGGTAGGCAAGTGCTCTACCACTTAGCTACAACCCAGTCCCCTACAACTTTTTGAGATGTTAGTTCTTATTTCTCAGTTCAAAGTGTTTTCAGATTTCCAGTATGAATTTTTTTGACTCGTGATATTTGAAATACTTTTATATTTCCAAATACATACAATTTGCTGGTTATCTTATTCAGTCTTTGTTTAAATGTATTAAACAAAGAATATGATCTGGTTGGAATGCTTTAGAATTGGACATTTTTGTTTATAACTGGTCAGTTTATCATCAGTGTCCTATGTATGTTGAAAAAGAATGTTGGGAAGTTGCTGGATGTTCTGGGGTTTTGAATACACTGTTACACAGATGCTCTTTGGGCTTGTTAATCATTTGGTTAAATATGTTGACTGATTCTCCACCCATTACTGACAAAGCCATGTAGAAATTTTGCACTTTAAGTATGGATTTATTAATTTCTTTATGTGTGTCTGTTAAGTTTTTCCTTATATATTTTGAAGTTTTGGGTTTTTTTTGGTACTGGGAATCAAACTCAGAACCTTGCGCTTGCCAGGCAGGCACTTGTGCCACTGAGCTATTTTCCCGGCCCTATATTTTGAAATTATGTTGTTAGGTATATGTAAATGTACACTTGTTATCACTGTATAGTTGACTGAATTCCTAAGGATTTAAAAAATATGAAAGGTAAAACTTTAAAACATGTAGAGCATAAGAGAATATCTTTCTGGCCTCAGAGTAAGAAAAAATGTTTTCTTTTTTGGGGGGGGATAGAGTCTCACTATGTAATTCAAGCTGGTCTTGAACTCACTATGGAGCCCAGGGTAGCCTCAAACTCATGGTGATCCTCCTGCCTCAGCCTCCCAAGTGCTGGAATGACAGGCATGTACCACCACACCTGTCTAGGAAAAAAATTTTTAAAACAAGGCACAAATATTAATCATGAGAGAAAAGATATGTAAATATGGCTGCATTAGTCATCTCTTAATCAAATTACCAAAATTATAGTGAACACACAAATCACAAAGTGGGCTAAGATACCTGCAACACAAATAACAAACAAGTATTATGCATGTTTTGATTACCACTCAGGATCTGTTTCCAGCAGGTAAGTCACATATTAGTGCTTTAAACTTCATACTTGTTACAGCTTGCATCTAGATGTCCTCTCAAAGCCTCATGCACTCATAAGTGGGTCTTTTAAGAACTGGCTGGATCTAAGATGTGTGAATGTGGGTTAAGTGGGTCATACTGGGATTAAGGGTATGGATACCAGAAGCCCCAACCTGGGTGTGGGTGGCACCAATTAATAGGCTTGTAGCCTGGACGGAATACAAAGGAACAGAAAAAAAGACAGGTTTGCTGTTGTTGCTTGCTGCGCTGCCTCACCATGAATAGTTTCTCTTCTGTGATGTCCCTCCACCATGGACCAAAACCTGTACAAACTGTGGGCTAAAATAAACCTTTCCTCCTTTAACTCTGGGTGTTGGGTATTTTGTCTCAGCCACCAGAAAAGTAGCTAAGATAGCACTCAGCAGAGAGGTTTATGCCTTCAGCTATATTCTGAGTTCTGTTTAGAGGCACTGTGCAAATTATTCAACACAGAATAACCAGTTATCTGGGAAAACAAATGTGAGTCATCTATGTTAAGACAAATGCTGGAGGGCTGAAGTCATGTGTTGGAGAAAGAATTAAGGTAGACACCCACAGAGAGCACACATAAATGTGTGGACATCTGTGGGGTCATTATGCCCCTGATTGTGTGCATAAAGCATTTCTTTTTCTTTTCTTTTTTGGTACTGGGAATCAAACTCAGAACCTCGCGCTGGCCAGGCAGGCACTGTGCTGCTGAGCTGTATCTTTTTTTTTTTTTTTGTCTTTTTGAGACAGGGTCTCGCTATGTAGTTCAGGCTGGTCTTGAGCTCACTTTGTAGCCCAGGCTAGTCTCGAACTCACAATGATCCTCCTGCCTCAGCCTCCCAAGTGCTGGGATTACAGGCATGCGCCACCATGCCCAGCCTATGCTGAGCTATATCACTGGCCAGCATTTCTTTTCTTTCCCTTTTTATAAAAACAGTACTTTTTTGTGTGTGTGATCTTTTTGAGACAGGGTCTCACTATGAGGTCCAGGCTGGCCCTGAGCTCACTTTGTAGCCCAGGCTGGTCTCGAACTCACAAAGATCCTCCTGCCTCAGCCTCCTGAGTGCTGGGATTACAGGAGTGCGCCACCACACTGGGTGTACTTGAAATTTTTTACACTGAGCCTAAAAACCCACCATGAGCAATATTTACTTATGGGCAGGGAATATAGCTCAGTGGCACAGTGCCTGCCTGAGTTCAATTCTTGGTACTCGCCCCAAAAAAGAAATATTTACTTATTAAATATGAGATGTACATTAGCTAGTAATAATGTCCATTCAATTTTATTGGTTTTGTTGGTTATTTTTTGTCTTTTTTTTTGAGATAGGGTCTTGGTATGTGCAATGCAATTCAGGCTGGCCTTGACTTCACTTTGTAGCCCAGGCTGGTCTTGAACTCTCAAAGATCCTCCTGCCTCAGCCTCCTAAGTGCTGGGATTACAGGCTGTGCCACCACACCTGACTAATTTGATAATTTAGCACTCTGGTTATGTAAGGGGATACCTGGTTCTTAGATACTCGATCATGTATTTAAGAATATGGGTTATAATGCTGGTACCTTAATCCGAAGTGGTTCAGCAAGAATAATGAGAGTGATTACACATCAGAGGATGGAGACCAAAAGCACGTGGCAGAGTGTTAGTAACTGGAAAGTCACGGGAGCGGGTGGTCATACAAATGTAGGACTCTTGTAAGTTTGAATTTTTCTTCTTTCTTCCCCTTTTTCTTTTGTGATATTGGGGATTAAATCCAGAGCCTTACACATGCCAGGCAGACACTCTACCAGTGAGCTACATTCTAAGCCCTAAGTTTTCATTATTTTTAAAACAAAAAGATTTCTTTAAAAAAGCCCTGTTTCTGCCAGGTGTTTTGGTGCACACCTGTAATCCCAGCACTTGGAATGCTGAGGCAGGAGGCTCCTTGGAGTTTGAGGCCAGCCTGGCCTACAAATGAGCTCAAGGCCAGCCAGAACTGCATAGCGAGATCCTGTCTCAAAAAGACAAAAAAAAAGGTAATTACATAGGAAGGAGAGTGCTCATGAAGCAGGGCATGGTGGTGCACAGCTGTGATCCCTGCGCTCTGGGAACCTGAGGCAACGATGAGCACAGCCTGGACTACTTAGTGACTTAGTGAGCCCCTGTCTGAAAGTAAAAGCTAAAAAAGGGCTGGGCCTGTAGCTCAGTGTGCAAGCCCTGGATTCACATTCCAGTGCACGCGCGCACACACACATACATGGGTGCACGTACAAAAATCAGTCTAATTAGAATGATTACCCTGGAAAAATAACGGTGCCATGGTAGTTTCCGGGCACATTCGGAAAGGTCTTCCAGGCACCCCAAACTCAAGTCGGCTTAGGTAACAATGGCCTGACGGTCCCTCTCCTGAGAGGGCTCCCGTGAAATCCGTGGAGGCCGCAGAGAGTGGGATTCCACGTACGAGTGCTGGTATTCTGAGGTTCCCTGCGCACCGATAACCCACGGAGACTGGGAAACGATTCCAATACTTCTTTAATAACACCGTGAATGCACACAACAGGGTGAGCTCTCACTGTGGGTGCAGGATCCGCAGCGGCTCTTTGTTCTCCCCGCCGTCGTTAAGGCAGGGGCAGAAGTAGGGATAAAGTTTCTCTGTGAAAGTGCTGTGGAAGGTGTAAATGTGGCTCATGGTGTTCGCACTGTAGAAGGACACCTGCCCGCCCTCGTAGTCCAGGTAAATGCCCACCTTGGTGAGGTTGTGCGTCAGCGGCAGACTGCAAGAAGGC